CATGAGTAGATGGAGGGCATGTTTCTGCAGACACCCGGATGATATTAATAGTAAGGGGAAAAAATAAAGGTTTCTCAGCATGAAGAGAGCATGATGTTAGACACAAGGTAAGAAAGAAAGAGGAAGCATATGCAAACACAAAGGAAGATTCTAGAGAGATGTTCTTCTCTTGCAGAAAGTATTATATTGGGTGTGGTGGAAGGCTGACCACCTAGCACGTTCCAGAAAATTCATGAATATACATCATGAAACTAAAAAAAGAGACTAGGTAATGTTGGGTTTCTATCTTGTTTGTTTGTTTATTTATTACCTTGCCATATGAGCAAGTCAAAAACTGGAACAGAAAATTGCAAATGAGTCGGGAGATTGTAGAGAGACTACTATGAGAGATGTAACTTAAGGAAGTTTTGGGGCATTTTTGGTCACTTCTGTTTATCCTAGGTAATGCAAAGAAATGGCATTTGTGAATCCAGATAGTGTGCAGAGAGGGGGCATGTCAAGAAGTACCAGAATCTTTATTCAGATCAGCTTTTGGTTTAGTTCACACCAAGGCCTGGTAGAATATGATCTACTTTTGAACTACTGTTCTTTCCCTATTGAAAAACTATTGATTGTGACCCATGCCCTAAGAGTGTGCGGGTCCTTAAACCGCACAGCTATGAATGAGGTATCTGAAAGACATATAAAAGTTCTTCAGACTTCTTTTTTTTTAATGGTTTGCAGTGGTGGATTAGGTTGAACAAAAAATGAAAATTAGGATATTGTGTAACAAATATGAGGAGACGTATCTGCCGTCTAGGCATGTATTTGGAAAGTGCCTAAAAGCAGTGGACAGAAGGATAGCCTGGTCAACAGAACCTGGGTGTTTATTTGGCTTTGTTTATTTGTGCCTTTTCCATCTCTCCCTTCTACTGCCAAATCCCTAAAAACCTTTTAAGAGAAACCATGCTGTGTAGAGTCCCTTGCGTTATAGAGAAGCCTTAGGCTTCTGGTCTCTGACTTGGAATGAGCCTTGTTAATTGTGTGGGTGTAGGGATGCATGAATCACTGGGCAAAGTCAGAAATAGACTCATCTTTGCTGGAGCTGTGTAGGATCCACTCCTGCGATCATGTGAGGTGTAAAGTAAATGCTGTCTGCTTCATAAGTGGTACAGCCTTATCCAGTTTGTTTCATGTACTCATGTGAGAAAGGGAACTGTCTGCGGTGCGTGTACTGAGAGTTTAATGTCTATTGAAAATACGAAATTTGTTCTCTTCTGGACAAGTAATCTTTGCTGTTAGTGTGTGGCATTACTGTAGTTACTGTTTTTACATGGAAAAGGGCAACAGAAATCATGAGGAAAAGCCAGGCTGCATTTTGCCTATAAGGTAAAAGACTACAGTTCACATCTTCACGAGTAATATTAGCCAATTAAAATCTGTGTCAAAGACTATCCATGGCGGCACCGAAACATGGTCACGTCACTCTCTGAAAGCTTTGCCACCCACCTAAGTAGTAACGTCTTACGTAGGTACTTTATGATAAGTTTGACTTCTTGGCTAATCCAAGTGGAAACAATTAAGATACTCTAAAGATATGTCAGAGTTGATACTACTTACTGAGATACTGATGCTGTCCCAGAAATGAGTCAGTTGTATATCCCCTTAATAGTCTTCATGTGCGGTGGTTAACTTGTTTACTTTTAAACATTTTTCTTTAAAAGGGTCCCTTTAAATTAAAAAAATTAACTTTGTTTTCTGGCTTTCAAAGTCTAAGGGATTTTCTGTGTGATATAATACATAACGTTTGTTTAATTGTTACACGGAGGGTAGTCATCTGTTTAATTTAATGTGCATGTTATTCATGGCTGTTGGGAGGATCTTTACGAGTAGCTGATAGTCACATTTTTTTTATTTCTCATTGTGTTGGGAGTTTGTGGAAGTGGGAACCCCAACTGTGTGCTGTTCATTGAAAGCTTGATTGGTTATGGCACTGCAATAAGACGTTACCTGTAGTCCTGAATCAGACCTGTTGCATCATCTGAAATATATTGAATTTGTTTCCAATTTGAATGGAAAGGGCTAAATAGTGCACGTGCAGTGATTAAGCTTGAGAGATAGTAAACTTGCAGAAGCACTCTCCTGCTTTTTGTCTTTGTCTTCACCCCGGAATTTCAAAGCAGAACCTAGTTTGGGGGCTTTTTAGCATGGCACGTGGGCACAAAGGCAAGGTAGGCATGATGGGCATATGAATCTAGACTGCTAGTTAGAGAATGTGGCCAGGGGTCGGTGTTAGATGAGAGCTGACCAGCTGTAGAGGGAATTAAATTGCATTTGAGAGACAGAGCTGAGCTGGAAGGGGAAATTGCTGTACCTGCTGTTTTTAAAATCGGTGTTGATCTTAAAAACATAGAGTTGTGATATGATGGGCTAGAGCTTATTCTCGCACGTACGTAGAAGGAGAACTCTTGGGAAAGTTGTTGTGGATCTTCCTGCCTATATGGGAAACAGTGTTAGGAAAAAATGTATTTATCAACTGGAGCTCAGCATTTATTTACTCTCCTTCCTGCTTGTGGAAGGAAAGGAGTCTCTTTATAGGGCTAGAGGAGGGAACAAAGAGCTGGTAAATGTAGTAGGAAAGAAAACTGTAATTTTCTTCCCCTGGCATATCTCGAATATTTAGTTATAGTTAGAATATTAAAGTTTTTTCTTTTTTTAATGGAAATATGCTGATCCTTTAAAAAAAAATCAATCTTTAGCACTTACGTGTTATGGCAGCTGTGAGTCCTTAGTATCTAGGTGTTGTCTATGGATTTGCAGAAGAAAAGCCCAGGATAATGTGAAGGTGGGGTCACTGAATGAAACTGAAGACTGCTGTTGCTTTTTTTTGGTGATGATTGAATTTGGTTTTAACTGCTCTTCTTGTGGGAAAGGCATAGGAAGGAATAGTATTATGGTTGCAATTTAGTCATTATTAAAATTGTTAATTGCTGTAAAGACAAGTAGGAGTCCTGATCTCCTATTTGATTTTCTGCTTAGTATCGCTACAGAATTTGTTAGAATCACCGTTTTGATCAGGGTGGTGTACGTTACAAATGCTGTGCAGAGTCTGTCTCTGTATGCTGTAGTTTCTCCTTGCCACCTCAATGCTGTTCTGCCACAGCGATGATGCTTCTTGCCCATATTCTGTAACCCCTATAGCAGGGAAAGAAAAGCAGTGGGGTTAGCTAGGAGTTACTAGTGTGCTGGTTGGCCAGCTGGCTGTTGAGAAATAGGGTACAGAACAGTTGAGTTCTGCCGTTTCATCTATATTAGCATTGATCTGAGACTGTCTTATCAGGCTCGCAGCAGACTTTGACCAAAATGATGGAAACTTAATAATAACTTGATCTTTGAATCCTCAGATTTAAGAGGGATAAAAGTTGGCCAGCGGACTCAAAACTTTTCAGAGGATTGTCCAGTCAGATGGATGTATCACCCAATCTAAGAGCGGAACACTCGACAAGCCATGCTGTCAAAACGTGTAAAACTGCAGATTTTTTTTTCAGTTTTAGAACGTCTTCCAGATAGACGAAATTCTAAGCCATGAGCAATGGCAAATTTCTCTGACGGTTACTCTATTTCTCGTTTATTTTCTTGCATAGCATGAGTTGCTGTGGGTATGACGTATCTGTTTGTCAGCGTTCATAGTGCAGCTTTTGTAGCTTACTGTGTGTTAGTTAAGGGCTAGTGGAGAAATGTCCACGAAGACGGGGTTTGTTGGAACTGGGACTTGGCTTCCTAATAGAAATCTTAAAAAAAAAAAAAAGTCAGTCACATTAAAATTTCCTTGAAAAACAAAGTATGCTCAGAATAAGATGAGTGATTTGCAGTGGCTGGTAACTTTTCTTTCGGAGGAATCTGCTAGTGTAGGGTAATCTGCTGTTTCTGTAGAGTACACTCATAATTAGCACTTCTGTGGCAGAGGGCTGAGCCTCTGTAGTTATTACAAGTATGCCTTGTGCTTTCTTTTCTATTGAAAAATGCACTGAAGGTAAAGGGAAAGATGCTTTTTTTTGCCTCTCTGATATCATTTCTCTGCTTATACTACCACTGGTAAGGGTATGGCAACTTAAGCAGGCTGCCACGGGGTAAACTGATACAGGTTTGCGCTGTGTTAGCTTTTCTGATTATTGTCCCCTGTACATGTACCTTATACTTTGAATAGAACCTTATATCTGTTTTCACTGTCAGACAATTACTTCTTAGACAGAATGAGTAGAGCATGGACACTGACGCTTACTGCAGAGTAGCCGGTGCTGTAATCACACTGCTGTCTGCACCACAGCAACTTGCCTTTGCGGCTATTAATCATAATGGCCGGAATAACTTAAACCTGAGGCTGGTTACAACGTAAGAAGTAGGTGATATAGTTGATCAGAAAGATACTAATTCTGTACTAACCTGGGAGCCTGCTCTTGATGGAAAATAAAGAAAAGATACTCTCTGTTGTGATTTTAATCTCTCTCTCTGTCTCTCTCTCTCTCTCTCTCTTTTTTTCCTCTCTTTTTTGGTCCTCACTCTCCTCCCCTCCTAGAAAGAGTAGAGGCATTGGATAGACTGAGACTTTGCGTCTTGTATTTATAATACCCTCCTGTGATATTACAGTAGTAGCACGTTACATTAGAGGGTTCCCCACCAGTTGTTTTTGGGCATTTAGAAACAGAGATGCTTAAGTGGTCCTTGCCCTGTCTGCTCCTCGTGCCTGTGATATTGTTTGTGCTGTTTTTTAGTGAATCAGCTCTTGAAAGCTGAAAAGTAGCTCAGCAAAACCAAGAAGCTTTCAGCCATATGTGTTTGCCTGGTGCAGTTCAGCTGAATTGACAGTGGCACGGCATCTTCTGTCTTGCCAGCACAGAACAGGACAAGGCACTTCAGCTGTGGAAAGTTCCAGTGCATCCTACTGGATTTAATGCAGCATCTCCATGGATGATGCTGGGCCAAACCATACTGTAATGTTTCTCAGCCATTGTTTAATTGAATTCGATTGTCTTGTGCTACTTCGGTTATGCACTCTACTCCATAAATCCTGTTTTCCTGAGCTGCTGCCTCTACAGAGAGTATGAAGCACGGTTAGAGAGATACAGTGAACGAATATGGACGTGCAAAAGCACAGGAAGCAGCCAGCTGACGCACAAAGAAGCTTGGGAGGAGGAGCAGGAAGTTGCTGAGCTGTAAGTATCAGTGAAGATGTTGATATGTGCCTGTCTTTATGCATGGGGGCAGAAGAGTGAACTTGGGAATGATATATGTGATTGCTGGTTAGGAGATAAGTAGCTTTTTACTGGTTGTTAAGTAGATCTGGGGATTCTGGAGTTGAAAGCAAATTAAGTCCAAATTTGAGGCCATCACTAATGCAGTTGAGTAATATACTTATTGAATGTTCTATATCTTGGTGTTACTTTGACTGAAATAGTTCAGCATGTGGTACCTGGCAAATTCTAAAGCTAAGTAATGGGAATTTTTCAGAGTAAAAAAACTTTGAAGGAAGTAAAGTAAAATTACAAGAACAAGCCATGGAGGGTTTCACATCAGTGAGGTCTACAACTGTAAATATTTTTTCCGGATGTGCACTGGCATCCGTGGTGGTGGTGTACCATATACAACAAATACTTTGGAGTAAGAGTTTGGGAATCTGCTCCACTTAAAACAATAAAGGGAAAACAGCCAGAGTAATTACTGTGTTCAAACCACGACTGTTTCTTCCTGGCTGGTGTGTCCCTGACCTTCCCTCCTAGCACATAGGATAGGGTCTGAAGCCTTGGTTGAGATCCAGTTTGCTCTCTGCTATAAAAAGAGCACTTTCTTTAAAAGGTGCAAGTTCTTGGCTGAACTATTTAACCACTGTTAACCGTATTTAACGTTAATTACTGAACATTAGGAGTTGATGCCAAACAGACAGCATGCTTTTCTGTTCTGTGAATTGGTGACAGGAATTTCTATGACTTTTGTTCCTTGATTTACCTGGAGAGACTATCATAAGTACTACGTGAGCTATTAAATTTCTTGCTGTCTCTTTTATAAACAATCCAGATTTCTGATTGATTGGCAAGAAAATTAATAGCCCTTAGCTTAAGGAGAAATTCCCCATAATGCCGGGTTAATTGCATCCTTAAAGAAACAAACAAGAAATCTATTTCCTAATGGTCCTAATTTCTGTGAGGCTTCGAGTACTATTGTGTTCAGTCCTTCTTCACTAATGTTCTTCTTTGAGGGGAGGTTACCTAGCTGGCTCTGTAAGCATGTAATCTTGAAGAAACTGAGTCTGAGTATACTAGTTTAGTGTCACTTTCTTTTGGGTACTAATGCTGGATTGGTTGGCATTTCCGAAAACATTCAGAAATGTAAATGGAATATAAGTGAAAGATTTCTCAATAACCCAGTTTAGCTGTAATCTCTCTAAATGTGAAAAAAGATTCTGTGAAATGCAATTTTGGGCTTGTCTCTTTGAAACAGGATTATAAGCTTCCTAAGGAGTTTACTGGCCACTTTAGTACTTGTCACCAGTTTGAATAAAAAAGTTCATGTAGGCAGTTTGTTATAAAGATAAACTTGTTCATGGCGATTGCAGAATAGCAAATACAGCTGAGGATTCTGTCAGTAATAAATCCCTTCGTCTTAAGAAGCTAAAAGAGTTTTGGAAAAAGTACAGTGTTTTGTTCCTTCTTTCAGTAACTTGAAATGGATTTCACTTTTGGGCCAAAAAAGTTGAGACAATATTTCTTAGACCTCATACCAGGTAATTGAACTAATCTTGCTCTAAAAGAAATAATTTGAGTAAACTTGTAGCAGTCGTTTTTTCTTTTAATAAAAAGTTTTAAGATCATGCAACTGGTAAAACACACAAATTATTTTTCTCTGAGAAAATTGGATTGTGGAAGCCTAGGTCTACCTGCTCTCTCCTGTGTTAGGAGTCTTAAACTCTGTAAGCCCAGCGTTTAAGAAGAAAGAAATGCTAAATGTTCATCAGCATTAAATTAGTATTAGAAGGAAAAATCTTAAAATAACAAGCTCCATGATAATGACATGCTCTCAGTATGTATTTAACCAGTAGTGGCGAGGCAATAATAACCAGCAAGAGAGAGTTTACCAGCAAAGCTACTCTTCCCAGAATGCTTTACGTTCCTTCTTCTGGGAAGGATGAGTGCAAGTCAATTTGTACTGGCGTGCCAATGAACGCTTCAGAAGAGGAAGGGGATACACCAGAAAGCCTTGGGATCTTGACATTCTAATATGACATCTGCCTCAAACATTGTCTTGGCTGTTAATGTTCTTGAAATTGTGAAATGGGAGGCTGCTTTGCGCTTTGGCTTTTATTTCCTGAATAATGAAAACTTCTCATGTCCTTGCTTAGCTTGAAGGAGGAGTTCCCCATCTGGTATGAAAAACTAGTGCTGGAGATTGTCCACCACAATACCGTATCGTTGGAAAAGTTGGTGGATGCAGCTTGGCTGGAGATCATGACCAAATTTGCAGTGGGAGAAGAGTGTGACTTTGAGGTAAGGATCTATTTTCCATTATTTCCCATGCTTTTGCAGAAAGCTACTTTCAGATATCTAAAGGCAAAAGAAGCATGGAAGAATGTTTTGGCCACTTACATAGCTGAAAGATGGTGAGAATATCATTTCTGGGGAATCCCAGTGACAGCAGCTGCTTTTCAAGTAGATGAATAGAAAAATGTTTCATAAGCAAAGGCATGTGGATGACCCATACTGATGTAAAGGGACTGACCTGGGGGGAAATGGCAATGCATTTGTTAGAAATTTTTAAATATACACACTCACATACATACACATATATTGTCATTAGTTGATTAAAAATTATAAATGTATATTCTTATATATATATATTTTTTTTTTTTTTAATCTGCAGTAGTGTTCTCATGTAGCATGTCCTCAGAAGGACTAGCAGGGTTAAACTGGCATAGCTTGATGTCCGCTGCTAGAAAAGCTCTAATGATCAGAAAAATCCCTACAGAATTAGAACTGATGGGGAAAATTCAAGCTTGTTAAAAATAAGGGAAAGCTTTATGAAATGTTCCCTGCTGGAAGTCTGTTTAGGACTGGTTCTCTAAACTGGAGCTACTGAGAGCACTTTGCATCTTGCCCACACGCACTTTCTTTAGACTGAGAAAGCAGCGCTATTAAACACTTGAAAATCTTGTGGGCAGTTGTCTATTTCTAAATTTGTAGAGAACTTCCAGGGTAGAAGTAGAAGAAAGAAATCCCATAATCCTTTGATAAGCAGGACAGGGAGCTCCTCTCAGGGAGGACATCAATTAAGTGTTTTGTCAAACCACAGTTTGTGGGTCTTTTTAGTTATTTTGTGGGGTTTTTTTCCCCTCTTCCTCCTCTCAGTGTTAAAGCTGATTAGTTAAAGTTCCTTGCTCAAGTTCAGTTTTTGTCAATTTTTTTCACACAGGTTGGTAAGGAGAAAATGTTGCCTGTGAAAGTTTTAAAAATTCATCCCCTGGAGAAAGTAGATGAAGAGACCTCTGAAAAGAAATCGGAGGGAGCCTGTGACTCCCCATCCAGTGACAAAGAGAACTCCAATCAGGTAGCCCAGGACAACCAGAAGGAATCTATTCTGAAGGAGGATGACAACAGGAGGGAAAGTATGAGTAAGTAGTAAGACAGCATGCCAAGTAGATAACTGCTGGAAGTGAGTGAATAAGTATTTGAATTAATGTATGTCTTGGGTCTGGGCTGTGAATGTTGCGTGTGATATTTAAAGGGTATATGTAATCATGATCCTGAAATTTTCATGGTCAATAGTGCAGTTTCAGTGTCATTAATGCTGACTGTTAGCTATGCTTGCTTGTTTTAAAGCAGAAAATGTACTGTGGTTCTAAGGTGTAATACTGAAAGCGAAAATATTTAAGCTTTAAGGTATACCAAGCATATGTTTAAAAAAAAAAAAAAAAGAGGGGGGAGGGAAAGGGGAAAGAAAAAAAACTTAGCAAAAGTTTGTGCAGCATCATTAAGTTCTGCTGTGATGTCCCTACCTCGTTCTCAGAACAAACATCCCTAGTTCAAAGCTTGTGTTTCTGCAGTTGGAGACAATCTGTCATTTTCTTTCATCTCCCCAATTGACATCGAAAACAGGTTTTTATTTTGATTTCCCCCACCTTTCCAATTTTCAAATGCTGAAAGGAAAAAATTAGTGTGGAAAAATGTATTTAAAATTTTTTCTTTAAGAGTTCAAAATAAAGCATGCTTTGAAAACACTGTTCCCCTTCTTCATATCTGTTCCTCCTTGCTGCAGTACAAGACACGGGACATTCAAGGCTTTTTTTTGACTCTGAGAAGGCACTGTTGAAAGAAAAAAATGATTAGTTTCATGTCCTGTGCAATTTTTTAAAAAAAGGAATTACAAAATTCCATAAAAGAGGTTTCTGAAAAAGGGCTCAAAAAATACAGCATAGCTCTAATCTGAATAACTGAACTTAAAGGAACGTGAATGTAATGAGATGTTTACGTTTGTAAACAGCCACTCTAACCTCTGAAGAAGGTATGTATGGCGTCCATATTAGAGAAGAAGAAACCCACAAAGCAGCCCAGCAAACTAATAGCAAAATCAGGACTGGAATACAAAGTCTTCCAAGCTCTAGTCTCAAGCTTAATAATCAACAACTGTTTCTGATTTTTACTGGAGAATGTTTTGATTTCATGCAGTAGTCCGTATCACCAGGGGAGGGGGAAAAAAAACACAACTGCAGGAAACTTTCTGGCCTTAAACTCGTCCTTTGAAACAATAGTAGTGCTTGGACAGGTACTGAGGGGATGCTAATCTTCTTATTGGGTGATAGTTCTCTTCAACTACCTCATAAAAGGCATGGAAAATAACTTTTATTCTAAAAGTGATCATTGGCCCAATTTACAGCAGCATCTTTGCTTTTGGGTGTTTTGAAAAACTTCCATAATATTTTGTTCAGTGGAGTACAGACTTCCAACAGCTGTGTTCAGCTGTAGTCTTGCTGAAATTGCAGTATGGCCTGCTTAAGAGTGATGTAGCTTCTTGGAGGAGGAGCAGATTCCTACACAGTGTTCAGGCTGTGACTCAGCTGATTATCAGACCTGTGTTCAGTTGTCTCTCTTTCCATAGAAGATTAACCTCAACCTTGTCAAATCAAAGGTGTTAACAGCTGAGTCATAACATTATCAGTAAAAGCAGTAAGCGTTCATATTTTTTTAGCTCTTTTCCTTGTACGTATGCATTCATTCAAAGGATATTTTATTGCTAATGCTTTTATATCCATGATTATAATAGAACATGCTTTACAGATGTAAAAACTCATTGTTTAGTACTATCTATATGCCAGAGTCCATTAAGATAACTGTAACATTTGGTATATTTATACAGCATGCTTAATGGCATAAAAACCCTTTGTTTAGTGGGGTCAGGCTCTGATTGCAGGCAGTATCTGGAGGCTACCTAGTTGCACTTATTTCTTTGACTTTTTCTTTCTAATAAGTTGTATACTTGGCTGTTGTAATACTGGTTGAGGTCACTACATAAGGAGTATTGAAAAGTAGTAACAGACTCTGTGTATGAAAGTGTGTGATATAAAAAGCTGCATCTTTCCATGCACACACAAGGGGGCAGAGCTACCCTTAGCATTTTTAATAATACTTGGGTCAAACTTGCTAGTTTTGCTGGAGGAGGAAAGAGGCAGAGAGAGGGAGAACTTCAGTCTCTTGGGTTTAGAGTCTACTGTGCTTCAGAAATTAAGAATAAGGCTTTATACAAGAGTTATTGCATCATATATGCAGTCTGAAGTGGCTTTGTATTTTTAGTTGCTTAGGGAGTGAACTCTGGAAAATCTGCAGAAGTGAGAGAAAAGGCTAGTTTTTCCTGAACATTGATGGTCAGCTACTGAAGGCAGGTTCTACAGCTTGAGCTGTAATTGGAATTAATACTGCTTTGGAAAACCCAAAATCGGTGAACAGAAGGAGCAACATCATTTGGATGCTTTATGAGGTTCCAGTGGTGTAGTTAATGTAAGTTTTATTGTAGTACAATGCAACCAAAAATTTACTTGAAGCATATATGTTTTATAAAATAATTTCAGAAAAGAATGCTTAGCTTTTTGGTTTTTTTTTTTTTTTTAAATAAGATATCCAATTGCTGTTTAATGGAATTCAGTATAGTCATCCCTATTTCTAGAATCTAGAAAGTAAATCATAGCTAAAGGACAGGTCACTTGCCTATCACAGAGGTGGCATTATAACCCGAATCCTTTAAAGTCTAAGCGACACACTGTTGTTTCTTAAATATAAACCTACCATGCAAGGTACTCGCATCCAGCAAAGGTAACACTCAGCCACTTAAAAGGCATTAAAGCAAATCTCTCAAAGCAGATCTCTTACAGACCTTGAAGTGTCTGGTGAGCAACTTTCATTGCGCTTTTGAGCAGAAAAACATAGTTTAGTGTTTGTTAACATACCAAGGTTTTTAAAATAAATGAGGAACAAAAGCAGACGAAAGTTAATTCTCGTCCTGACTTGCAATGAGAGGGTTAGTCTCCTCTCACACGCACTGTAGCTCTTGTTACCAAATTTAGGATCTTTACCTTCAAAGCAAAACTTCCATAATGAGTGATACTTGGAACAGAGACTTCCACAGTATCCTAGAATATAGCATTAGTGTGGAAAGTAACTGCATAATTATCTGTATGGTGTAGGCAGCCCATGGCATCTGTGATTGCTTACCTAACTAAGATGGCTGATTTGGAGGGGGGGATGGGTATTAGAACTTAGTTTTACTCTATTTAAGCTATAATATGTGTTGATCTTACTTGAAGACTAATTCTGTTACCATTTGGTTATGTTGTAGTTAGAAATAAGTTGAAATACTTATTCATATGTTTCTCTGCTTCAAATCTGGATATTTCCTCCTTAAAAAAAAGAAAGGACCGCTGCCATGCTTTTAATTTAGGCGCTTTCTCCTTAGTTGCCTACTTAGCAGGCTGCCACATCAATTTTCTACATCCTTTCTTTTCAAGGAGCTGTTCCCAGTGTTAAAATTTTGATAAATATTGATGATGTGAGAGTAACTTCTATCAAAGAAATCCATTGCTCTCATCCTTTCGGAAGCCAGAGCTGCTGCTGAAGCTTAAATGCTGTAGGATTTAAACTGTGATAGTGATATATATATAGAGAGAGAGAGAGATAGAGATATATACCCATACATATAAATATATTTTTTTAATTGATGTTTGACTTAGGTCTAGCATCTTATGACTTGCATTCTATGTACAGTTAGTAAATAATTATTTCCATCCGTCATGCTTGCTTTAGCAATTTCTTTGAGTCATACCCATAAACATATAAAGGTTTGAAGATCAGTGTCTTCAATAAGCTTTTTTTTTTTATAGGTGATTAACATTTGCAGCCTGAATATAGAAATAATAGACTCAACCTCTGCTGTCAGAGAGGTGATCCCCTTGTACTCCTTTTGGTTACATCCATCTTGAGAATAAAAAAACCCAAGCTTGTCTAAGTAAGCTTAAAATCTCCAGCTTAACTGGCTCATGTGCACAGGGGCTAATAATAGTAAGATGCTTGTAATAATTGTATAGCACTTAAGAGCCATTGAAGTTAAATGACTTTAAAAGTTATTTTAATTTAGAATTGATAATTCCTGCAATAGAATTATTTCAGATGTGATGGGGCAGATGACTAGGGCTCTTGGAAGCAACTCTGAATTGTTTTAATAACCAATAACCTGCTTAGGGAGGTTTAGGTGATTTAAAAAAAAACCTTTTCCCTTTTTATGAACTTTATAGAACTTTCCTCCCTTTGCATAGCTAGTTGTGTCTTTCTTCCCATAAAAAGATGGGTTCAACTGGTCCCTTATACTCCTTAAAGATTGGTGTTACCTTCTATTTCAGACCTTTGTGGGGACTCCATTCCCAGTGTGTATCTTTAGAGTGTTTCTAAAACTGGATTTGGGAATCTTTCCTGATGTTCTAGTTTAACCAAATATGCTATACATAGCTATTGGGGGAGATTCTGTTCCAGTCACAATGTTAATTTAACTTTCGTAACTCTTAGCACTAAGATACTTAAAAGTCTTACCTTGGTTCATCAGATGATCGAGCACGTAGGTCTCCTCGGAAGCTTCCTACTTCTTTGAAGAAGGAAGAAAAGAAGTGGGTTCCACCTAAATTCCTACCACACAAATATGATGTGAAGCTGAAAAATGAAGACAAGGTGAGATGACTGCTTGAGTCCTTTCTGGTACAACATGAACATATAAGTTTGATTTAAATAATTGTCAGGATGTCTGAAGGAGTCGTGGGATTAGAAGTGGGTTTACCTGCGTTTGTGCAGTTGTCTGCTAGGCTGATTAGCTTGGCTGTTTCAACAAATAATTGTGTTTTGTGCCATGGAAGCACCTCATAGTTTCCTGGTACCACCTAGGGAAGCTGAGTCACGATGATGTGTTAGCTTGAGAGTTGTCACTGCTAACTGGCTAATCTCTGGTCAGGCAGTTAATGAAGGTGGTCAGAGGCAGATTAGTAATAATCATGACCAGGAGTTGCTGCTCTCATTCTAACTGCAATTCTCTAAAAGTCATGAGTAATTGCACTTCAGGAAGCTCTGTGTGGCTGCAGTGCTACCACATGCTTTTTGTCAACTGTTTGCTAATTTGATAGAAAGGCAGTGCTGACCTCAGGTTAATGAGTATGACTTGCAGAGCTACTCCTCTGATCTCGGGGGGGGGAAAAACAAACAAACAAAAAAACCCAAACACTAATATGTAAAAGCTTTTAAGTTAGTAGCAAGCATGTGCCAGGGGAAGATCGGAAGTTTTTATTGTTGCCAGATAAAGCAACAGACTTTGGCAAGAAAACTACAACATAATTTTTTTTTTTTGACGTTTTTGGCCAAGTCGTCTACCAGTCTCTGTTACGTATCTCCATTGCAAGTTCTGTCTGTTTTGTTTCGTGGTTTTTGCAAGAAAGCTTTGAAAGAGCAGAGAGTTTGCGGACCCAAAGCATTGTAATGTTTCCTGCTCCTTTTTGCTGTATAACATGCATCTATAACGTCACTAAAAGTTGAATATTAAGTCCATCTTTTTGTTTTCTCCAAGATCATCAGTAATGTACCAGCAGATAGTTTAGTCCGTACAGAGCGTCCTCCCAACAAGGAGATCCTGAGATACTTCATCCGTCATAATGCGCTACGGGCTGGCACAGGCGAGAATGCCCCATGGGTAGTGGAGGATGAGTTAGTGAAGAAATACTCTCTCCCCAGTAAATTTAGTGACTTCCTGCTTGATCCACATAAGGTAAGAATTCCTATAAATATCTTCTGGATTTAATGATGAGGAATAGGTGAGAAAGCAGTCTTGGCTAACGCTTCTGTGCGCCAGCTGGGTTTTGGTGCTCTTGAGCTTAAATTAACTTAGATGCAGAGCAGGGCAGTTGGCTCTTTTGAAAAGTGACTCTTTGTGAGGTTAAACAACTTGAATATCTGAAGCAGTGATCCAATTTTAAAAGTGTGAGCTGAATTGTAACGTGACTGCATTTTCTTAGCTTTTTCCGGCAGCGATTTCATTACTTGTCTCCAAATAATAGTCAGGATTTCCTTATGTGAGACAAATAGAAGAGCTGTAGTCTTTGCCTGGTAATTATTGGTCCATTTTCATGGACACAATGGAAGAGCTGGGTATCTCTGACTTTGTGATACTTGGTTCTTCTGTGCTCCTGGGTTGACAGAAGGCTGAACGCTCTACGAATTAAGTTAAATGTAAGAATATGCACACAGGTAAATTGCAACAAATGGTGTTGATTGCTTTGGGTCATATAACGGATCATTGAAAAATGAAAACGCATCTGTGGATCACATCTTGGACCTAAAAGATACAACGTACACACAAAAAAAAAAAAAATTGTAGGAACCTAATCTTGTCCTTTGCATAAAACCCATCGTGTGTTTTCCATCAATTTCAGAACTGCTTGGATAACTACATGGCAGATGCTGCAAATCTTTGTACTGAAAACTCTAAATAGCTGAGACTTTTATGTTCCCAGCCAATTGTAGTGACCATCTAAATATGCTGTTAATGGAGTAGATGTCATACCATGAAATCTGCTGTTTTAGAATACATCTTGGGGTGTAGAAAGCACTCTTCCCGCCCCCCCATTTAGTAAACTCGCTTTCATGTGGACTCAACCTTTATCAAGTTTTGTTGCAAAACTAGAACAGAATTATCTGGTATATCTTTTTTTCTCCTTGGGAAGGTAGCTTCCATAAACTCTTCTGGAAACTTATAAATCTGCTTAAAGTAAAAACTGAATTCTTCATACATGAGCTGTGTTTACCCTGCAATAATATTTGGGGTTGCTCTCTTACAAGAAGGTATTTTGTGGTGATATTCAAATATTTTATTCAGAGAACTAATGGATGGAGACATGCTTGCAGTAGAAGACAAAAATATGCACCTGTAACATCTTAGATGTGACTTATGGAAGTCCTTAGCTTTATGTTTAGGACTGACACTTTCCATGGCACATTTCCCACTTGAATTTCCATTGAATTTTAAACACTGAGAAGTAGATGAAGAATCACAGAATCGTTTAGGTTGGAAGGGACCTCTGGAGATCATCTAGTCCAACCTCCCTGTTCAAGCAGGGACCTCTAGAGCATATTGCCCAGGATCACATCCAGACGGGTTTTGAATATCTCCAGTGCAGGAGTCCTTGCCCAGCTCTCCCTTCCTGCTAGCAGCAAGCACCGTCTAGTTCCTCGGGGGTCCCCAGAAAGTCTCCACAACTTCCAACAAGGCCCACAAAAGGCCCAGGCAGAGCCCAGACACTGCTGCGCAAACTGCTGCGTCTGTTCGCTGCCTCTGTTGGCTGCGCTCTGGGAGCTGCGCTCTAGGCCTGGCTCTTATATAGGCCTCTGCCTAGCAGTGACTCACAAGGGTGCTTGACCCACCCAATCAGGAGCCACCTGAAACAAAAGCCCCAACTCCCTCTGACCAGGGCAGCCCAGAGAGCTCGTTAGCAGCAGCCCCACCTAGCTAGAACTTCCCAGGAGAAGTTAAGTCAAGGTCCCCTGCAGGAGTCCTTGCCCAGCTCTCCCTTCCTGCTAGCAGCAAGCACCGTCTAGTTCCTCGGGGGTCCCCAGAAAGTCTCCACAACTTCCAACAAGGCCCACAAAAGGCCCAGGCAGAGCCCAGACACTGCTGCGCAAACTGCTGCGTCTGTTCGCTGCCTCTGTTGGCTGCGCTCTGGGAGCTGCGCTCTAGGCCTGGCTCTTATATAGGCCTCTGCCTAGCAGTGACTCACAAGGGTGCTTGACCCACCCAATCAGGAGCCACCTGAAACAAAAGCCCCAACTCCCTCTGACCAGGGCAGCCCAGAGAGCTCGTTAGCAGCAGCCCCACCTAGCTAGAACTTCCCAGGAGAAGTTAAGTCAAGGTCCCCTGCAGGAGTCCTTGCCCAGCTCTCCCTTCCTGCTAGCAGCAAGCACCGTCTAGTTCCTCGGGGGTCCCCAGAAAGTCTCCACAACTTCCAACAAGGCCCACAAAAGGCCCAGGCAGAGCCCAGACACTGCTGCGCAAACTGCTGCGTCTGTTCGCTGCCTCTGTTGGCTGCGCTCTGGGAGCTGCGCTCTAGGCCTGGCTCTTATATAGGCCTCTGCCTAGCAGTGACTCACAAGGGTGCTTGACCCACCCAATCAGGAGCCACCTGAAACAAAAGCCCCAACTCCCTCTGACCAGGGCAGCCCAGAGAGCTCGTTAGCAGCAGCCCCACCTAGCTAGAACTTCCCAGGAGAAGTTAAGTCAAGGTCCCCTGCAGGAGTCCTTGCCCAGCTCTCCCTTCCTGCTAGCAGCAAGCACCGTCTAGTTCCTCGGGGGTCCCCAGAAAGTCTCCACAACTTCCAACAAGGCCCACAAAAGGCCCAGGCAGAGCCCAGACACTGCTGCGCAAACTGCTGCGTCTGTTCGCTGCCTCTGTTGGCTGCGCTCTGGGAGCTGCGCTCTAGGCCTGGCTCTTATATAGGCCTCTGCCTAGCAGTGACTCACAAGGGTGCTTGACCCACCCAATCAGGAGCCACCTGAAACAAAAGCCCCAACTCCCTCTGACCAGGGCAGCCCAGAGAGCTCGTTAGCAGCAGCCCCACCTAGCTAGAACTTCCCAGGAGAAGTTAAGTCAAGGTCCCCTGCAGGAGTCCTTGCCCAGCTCTCCCTTCCTGCTAGCAGCAAGCACCGTCTAGTTCCTCGGGGGTCCCCAGAAAGTCTCCACAACTTCCAACAAGGCCCACAAAAGGCCCAGGCAGAGCCCAGACACTGCTGCGCAAACTGCTGCGTCTGTTCGCTGCCTCTGTTGGCTGCGCTCTGGGAGCTGCGCTCTAGGCCTGGCTCTTATATAGGCCTCTGCCTAGCAGTGACTCACAAGGGTGCTTGACCCACCCAATCAGGAGCCACCTGAAACAAAAGCCCCAACTCCCTCTGACCAGGGCAGCCCAGAGAGCTCGTTAGCAGCAGCCCCACCTAGCTAGAACTTCCCAGGAGAAGTTAAGTCAAGGTCCCCTGCAGGAGTCCTTGCCCAGCTCTCCCTTCCTGCTAGCAGCAAGCACCGTCTAGTTCCTCGGGGGTCCCCAGAAAGTCTCCACAACTTCCAACAAGGCCCACAAAAGGCCCAGGCAGAGCCCAGACACTGCTGCGCAAACTGCTGCGTCTGTTCGCTGCCTCTGTTGGCTGCGCTCTGGGAGCTGCGCTCTAGGCCTGGCTCTTATATAGGCCTCTGCCTAGCAGTGACTCACAAGGGTGCTTGACCCACCCAATCAGGAGCCACCTGAAACAAAAGCCCCAACTCCCTCTGACCAGGGCAGCCCAGAGAGCTCGTTAGCAGCAGCCCCACCTAGCTAGAACTTCCCAGGAGAAGTTAAGTCAAGGTCCCCTGCAGGAGTCCTTGCCCAGCTCTCCCTTCCTGCTAGCAGCAAGCACCGTCTAGTTCCTCGGGGGTCCCCAGAAAGTCTCCACAACTTCCAACAAGGCCCACAAAAGGCCCAGGCAGAGCCCAGACACTGCTGCGCAAACTGCTGCGTCTGTTCGCTGCCTCTGTTGGCTGCGCTCTGGGAGCTGCGCTCTAGGCCTGGCTCTTATATAGGCCTCTGCCTAGCAGTGACTCACAAGGGTGCTTGACCCACCCAATCAGGAGCCACCTGAAACAAAAGCCCCAACTCCCTCTGACCAGGGCAGCCCAGAGAGCTCGTTAGCAGCAGCCCCACCTAGCTAGAACTTCCCAGGAGAAGTTAAGTCAAGGTCCCCTGCAGGAGTCCTTGCCCAGCTCTCCCTTCCTGCTAGCAGCAAGCACCGTCTAGTTCCTCGGGGGTCCCCAGAAAGTCTCCACAACTTCCAACAAGGCCCACAAAAGGCCCAGGCAGAGCCCAGACACTGCTGCGCAAACTGCTGCGTCTGTTCGCTGCCTCTGTTGGCTGCGCTCTGGGAGCTGCGCTCTAGGCCTGGCTCTTATATAGGCCTCTGCCTAGCAGTGACTCACAAGGGTGCTTGACCCACCCAATCAGGAGCCACCTGAAACAAAAGCCCCAACTCCCTCTGACCAGGGCAGCCCAGAGAGCTCGTTAGCAGCAGCCCCACCTAGCTAGAACTTCCCAGGAGAAGTTAAGTCAAGGTCCCCTGCAGGAGTCCTTGCCCAGCTCTCCCTTCCTGCTAGCAGCAAGCACCGTCTAGTTCCTCGGGGGTCCCCAGAAAGTCTCCACAACTTCCAACAAGGCCCACAAAAGGCCCAGGCAGAGCCCAGACACTGCTGCGCAAACTGCTGCGTCTGTTCGCTGCCTCTGTTGGCTGCGCTCTGGGAGCTGCGCTCTAGGCCTGGCTCTTATATAGGCCTCTGCCTAGCAGTGACTCACAAGGGTGCTTGACCCACCCAATCAGGAGCCACCTGAAACAAAAGCCCCAACTCCCTCTGACCAGGGCAGCCCAGAGAGCTCGTTAGCAGCAGCCCCACCTAGCTAGAACTTCCCAGGAGAAGTTAAGTCAAGGTCCCCTGCAGGAGTCCTTGCCCAGCTCTCCCTTCCTGCTAGCAGCAAGCACCGTCTAGTTCCTCGGGGGTCCCCAGAAAGTCTCCACAACTTCCAACAAGGCCCACAAAAGGCCCAGGCAGAGCCCAGACACTGCTGCGCAAACTGCTGCGTCTGTTCGCTGCCTCTGTTGGCTGCGCTCTGGGAGCTGCGCTCTAGGCCTGGCTCTTATATAGGCCTCTGCCTAGCAGTGACTCACAAGGGTGCTTGACCCACCCAATCAGGAGCCACCTGAAACAAAAGCCCCAACTCCCTCTGACCAGGGCAGCCCAGAGAGCTCGTTAGCAGCAGCCCCACCTAGCTAGAACTTCCCAGGAGAAGTTAAGTCAAGGTCCCCTGCAGGAGTCCTTGCCCAGCTCTCCCTTCCTGCTAGCAGCAAGCACCGTCTAGTTCCTCGGGGGTCCCCAGAAAGTCTCCACAACTTCCAACAAGGCCCACAAAAGGCCCAGGCAGAGCCCAGACACTGCTGCGCAAACTGCTGCGTCTGTTCGCTGCCTCTGTTGGCTGCGCTCTGGGAGCTGCGCTCTAGGCCTGGCTCTTATATAGGCCTCTGCCTAGCAGTGACTCACAAGGGTGCTTGACCCACCCAATCAGGAGCCACCTGAAACAAAAGCCCCAACTCCCTCTGACCAGGGCAGCCCAGAGAGCTCGTTAGCAGCAGCCCCACCTAGCTAGACCTTCCCAGGAGAAGTTAAGTCAAGGTCCCCTGCAGGAGTCCTTGCCCAGCTCTCCCTTCCTGCTAGCAGCAAGCACCGTCTAGTTCCTCGGGGGTCCCCAGAAAGTCTCCACAACTTCCAACAAGGCCCACAAAAGGCCCAGGCAGAACCCAGACACTGCTGCGCACACTGCTGCGTCTGTTCGAATTTAGTAATCTAGAAGAATGTAGTAATCTAGAATTAGTGTTCTGGCTATATAACTTTGTTGTACATGTGACAGTTGAATATAAGGTATAAGCTGTAGATCTAATATTTGTAGCTATCGTGATTCATGTCAGTGCTGGATGTTTTCAGTTTACATAATTTTCTTCAGCAAAAATGTCAACACAGAGTTTTTAAACAGTGAAGTTAAGCAGAGAGTGGTTTCAGCTAGTATGCTATCTTCAGTGAAGATTTCCCTGTTGGAGTAATAACGACTCTTAAATCAGGGGTAAAGCCTTTAACAGTGAAAATCCAGAAGCCAGAAATCTAAATAGTTCTATGACCATCTTAACTTGATCACATTGTGTATATCTGTAAATAAGTACTTCCTAGATGGCTGCATTTTTTACTATGCTTACTGCTGCAGATTTTTCTTTTTTTCCCCCCTAATAATCTTAACTTTTCAGCTCCTAATTTCTGGTAATTTTATTCATAACCTAAAGGTTATATTTCTGCAAGTGTCCTATATTTTATTTTTAACTTCTTGAAATGGATTAATATTCTGGATGCACTCTGAACCTGAGTTTGAAGTGCTGAGATATTTCTGAAGTCAGTCTCTCTGTTTGCCTCTGAGTCAAACTTTTTTATGCTGAAAGTAGGCTAACAGGCGGGTTATTTAAAAACAATCAGCTGTTCAGTGACGTTACTTGAGAAACAAAGCCTGATCAGAATTGAAACCAGACTGTTCAAATTTCTAGCAAGAGCTAGGTTCCTGTTACCGATCACTTTCTTTACCTTGAAATATTAATATAAAATTATTCTTTCTTTAATTTTAGTATATGACTCTCAACCCATCAACCAAGAGGAAGAGCTCTGGATCACCGGACAGAAAACCTTCCAAGAAATCTAAAGCTGATGGATCATCCCTAGGTCAGCCACTGAGCCCTACTCTGTGGTGTCACGTACACTTGGAGAAATCTATTATTGGGTCTCCGCTGAAAGTAAAAAACTCTAAGAACTCAAAATGTCCCAAAGAGGAGTTGGAAGAAGTGATGAAAATAGTGTCACCTGGTAAACTTGGCTCTAACTTTCACATTCCAAAGAGGAGCCGATTGGGAAAGGGCAGCAACAAATCCTTGGACAAAAAGCAGAGAGGCAAAAGGGTTTTAAACGGGCAGAAATCATCTGGGAAATCAAAGTCTCCTAGAAAAGGCTTGAAGACTCCGAAGATGAAGATGAAACAAATGACACTACTGGACATGGCCAAAGGTACCACTAAGGTGTCCAGGGCTCCCAGGAATTCAGGAGGCACCCCTAGGTCTTCCAGCAAACCCCAGAAACATCTGCCTCCTGCAGCACTCCATCTCATTGCCTATTACAAAGAAAACAAAGACCGAGAAGACAAAAAAAGTGCCCTTTCCTGCATCATCTCCAAAACAGCCAGGTTACTCTCAAATGAGGATCGTGCCCGTCTCCCTGAAGATTTGCGAGGAATAGTACAGAAACGCTATGAGCTTCTAGAGCACAGGAAGAAGTGGGCCACCATGACAGAGGAGCAGCGAAAGGAATATCTGAAGAAGAAAAGGGAGAAGCTGAAAGAGAAACTGAAGGAGAGAGCGAAGGAGCGGAAGGAGAAGGAGATGAAAGAAAGACTGGAAAAACAGAAAAGATATGAGGACCAAGATATTAAAGGGAAGACCTTGCCTACTTTTAAACTGGTTGATACTCCAGAAGGACTTCCTAATACTCTCTTTGGGGATGTAGCCATGGTGGTAGAATTCCTGAGCTGTTATTCTGGGTTATTGATGCCAGATGCTCAATATCCTATTACAGCAGTTTCTCTGATGGAAGCACTTTGTGCAGAGAAAGGTGGCTTTCTTTACTTGAACCGAGTACTGGTCATTCTTCTGCAGACCCTGCTGCAAGATGAAATTGCTGAAGACTATGCTGAGTTGGGAATGAAGCTTTCTGAAATACCACTTACTTTGCATTCTGCTTCTGAGTTGGTCCGCCTATGTTTACGCAAGTCAGATGTACAAGAGGAGAGTGAGGTCTCGGATAATGTTGATGAAAGCAAGGATTCAGCCACTTTTGAAGATAACGAAGTACAGGATGAGTTTTTGGAGAAACTGGAGACATCAGAGTTCTTTGAGCTGACTCCTGAAGAGAAACTGCAGATACTGGGAGCGCTGTGCCATCGGATTCTAATGACTTATTCAGTGCAGGACCATGTGGAGGCCAAGCAGCAGATGTCAGCTGAGTTATGGAAGGAGCGCCTAGCTGTCCTGAAAGAAGAGAACGACAAGAAGAGAGCAGAAAAACAGAAGCGAAAAGAAATGGTGGCCAAGAACAAGGAGAATGGGAAGGATGAGAATACAATGGGAAGGAACGACAAGAAAAAAAATGAGATGGTGAAAATAGAGCACCGGCTAGAAATAGAAGCTGATGATATGATCAGCGCTGTGAAGAGCAGACGCCTTCTTGCCATCCAAGCCAAGAAAGAGAGGGAGCAACAAGAAAGACAAATGAGAGGTAAGAAAAATACCAGGGTAGTAGAGCATTTGTGTATCATGAAGTAGATGAGACTATATGAACTAATGGTGAAAATTGACTATTTCCAGAAGCGTTGCCTGGGTTCAAGGAGTTTCCAGGCTAGAGAAGTACAGTTCAGCTGCTATAGAGCTTTATGAATGATAGCTTGAGAAATATTTTAGGTGTTCCTATGGGGGTTCAAAACCTGGAATGTTGGGGGAGGGGGGGGAAGATGCAATAACTGCTTTCTGTCTTGTATCTGTGGGCATCTTTTGTACAGCAGCTTTCTAATTCTGTCAGGCTCAGGAAAGCTGGAGAACAGAAACTTTGTTTTGGGGGCAGGAAACCATGTTTATTCATGCCCCAAAATCTTTTGCCTCTTTTGTGTACAAAGGAGGTATTTCATGCCCCAGAATTAGTTCCCACAACTGCTGCTGGCCCTGCTGCCTTGCACACAGTCAGATTGATACTAACAGCTCTTCTCCTAGATGAGGTCATGGGCTATAACAGTTTACAGTTTTCCATTTTAAAGAACTAGTTATAGAAACTTATAAACTGTTCATTCAGGCCTCTTCAGGTCATCAGTTGTATTACCAAACTGTGTATGTATCTGTGTATGTGTGGTGCTTTTTGCTAAGGAATATGCAACAGGAAGCACAAAACACTGATAGAATCACACTACAGGGGATTCTTTTGGTTGTAAATGTAGTACTGGGCAGATGGAAGGGGAGAGCATAACTCACCTAGATTGTCATTTCCCTTCTGAAACAGTTGAGGGAAAAGCTTCCCACATGGAGCCTGGCTTCTGTACCTTAGCTAGAGTCTGGGAGTATTTGTTCTAGGAGACCAAGAAGAGCTAAAAAAACATGGACTTCCCTAAGGCTCCTCAGGGAACGGAGTGATTACAGCCATGCCTCACATTAAAAACTATTAGACCTTTCACATCTTAACGTTAAGAGTTGTGAGTCTCAGAGGTATCAATAATCTTTAAAATAGATAAAACGTTGTTCACTGGACTCTCATCCAAAGGGTATTCAGTCGAGACTTGTTTACTTGTGTCACATCTTGCACTTTTCCCTCCACGGATTAGTTTGTTTGTCCAGGAGCCCCTTATGAAAACTACAGTGCAAGAATCTTGCTTTTTACTAGCATCTGGCCTCTTTGCCCAGATCCAAACATTCTTTTTCCCTGGATTGGATCCTTGCTGTCCTGTGCTGTGAGCCGTATTTACCACACCTAAACTAAAACAAAGAGGAAATTCTTACTGTTCCTGGGTTTTCTGGTTGCATGTCATCCAACTGGCTTCTCACTGACAGATTTCCTTTTGGTGCTGTCCTGGTTCCTCTTCTACCCTGGAGTTGCTGAAGATTTGGTGTGCTGTACTACCTCTCCAGAAAAACAAAGTACCAAGTATCTAATGTGCTGAAGCTGGATTGTCTCTGGGCCCTGATTCTTGTAGTTTTCTAGTTGTTTGATTGCAAGTTCAAATAGGAAGGAGAGTGACATTGAGTTGACCGAGATGATTAGAAATCATTTGTTTAGGGTGCTGGGGAAGCGTGATTTAGGGGGGACGGGAGGGGGGCTCCACAAAGAGACGAGGTGTCTCTAGCGGGGAAGGAAGGATTCAGCCTTTCATTAAGGTTTGAACTTGTATTGCTTCCTTTCCACATAGCAAACCCTAACGTTTCAGCCGCCTAAGCCTCCTTTTATCTGTTAAGCAGTTGGTACCATGGCATAAATATACTACCAGACCTTGGTTGATGTCAATGAGTGCAGTAGTTAGGGCTTCAGGGTTAGCAGCTCTGAACTAGTCTGTTAAAGACTTCAGACCTGGGGGGCTGATGTGGTTTCAGTATATTAGAACAGTTCTGAAAAACATGAAACCATAATGAGAGCTGTCTCATATACTACGATCATGACAGGGCTTTTTCTGGCCCTTTTTCAGCGTACAGGCTTTCAGGCCGTTTCAGTTATATTTGCTATGGATAACGTTCATATCTCTGGGGGAGTGAAAGAGCAGTTGCTGATAAAACACTGGTTGTGCAGTACACTCTCTCACACACACACACACACACACACACACACTACCCTATCTCACGGTCAGAGGTTGCTGTTTTCACCACTCTGGTAATACCAGTAACAGAGCGCTGACCTCTTTTCAGTTAAACCTATAAAGATCATGGCCAATTCTTCCTAGCTATTCTCAGCTCAGAAAAGAACCCAGTGTAAGAAAGCATAAATGTATTTTTTGTTCTTTCTTGACTGCTTTTGTAGTTAATTCTAGTCATGAATCAATACAGGAGGTTAATGTCTTTATTTTCTTGACAGTGAAAGCCAAGTTGCTTCCATTTCTGTGTTATTCCAGCACTTGCTGATTGTTCTTTGCCTTGTCACTCCATGAAGCAGTAGGATATTTCCTGTAAGTCGATTGGAGGAGAATGGAAAAATGGAAGTTTATATGCCGAAAAGAAGCCTGCTAGGGAGAAGAGTACCAACCTAGACTAGCTTTTTTCTTCTTCTTTTTTTCCCCCGCATCTTGACTGAACAATTTGGACGCGTGAGAAAAATGATGCCTGCAACAACTGATCTTTGCAGTTGGGTAGAAAAAATACCCGTCTCTCGTGTTGTAGGCACTCAAGAGTTTGCTGGCAATATGGCTTGTTCTGATTGGAGTCTTGGCCCTTGAAGGGAGGGAGGTGAGGAAGCAAGCGTATTTTGTGCTTGCTAGAATTGCTGAGTACTCTCACCATCAACCATGTTTAATGTAGGAGGGATGATTTCTGGAAAAATTGAATACTTGATTACAGAATTGGAAGTTTTACAGAGAAAAGCATGCAAACAAGCAATGCAAATTTAGACTATGATTGGAATTAGTTTAATATTCTGGCTATGGTGGTGGGTTTCTTCAAGACCTCTTGACTGTGAAAGCCAAGGGCAACTTACTAGTACTGCATCCAGAATACTATCTCTGATTCCTTCTCCAAGGCTGTTGACGCTCATGCAGATGAAGTTTGTGTTCTTCTGGGTGCAAATTAAACTGCAAAGTAGGGTTTTTATGCCATTTCTCCCACCTTGCCATTCTGTGTAAGGAGATGCTGTTGTTTTGTAGCTCTAGTTAGGTTTAAGTGTTCACAGGAGAGCAAGTCAAGGTCTCTTGTGTATCTAGCTTTGAATTGTCTTGTTAAAAGGTTGTTAGCGAAGTGGATCTTCCATATGGGGGCAAGTTTCTGCTTAGGGAGTTGACTATATTAGTTTTACCCGAATCCTCTTTTCCCTAAGTGTGTGACGATGTAAAACTTTCATAGCTTTACACTATCTTACAAACTGTTCGTAATAACTCTATAGCAATTCTGATAGCACCAGGTTGTGCTTCTTGAGACTGATTTTCTATAGCTTGACAAATGTCATAGCAGTAATACAGGTGAAAACCAGCCATCTGCATCATTTTTCAAACCAACTCCTTGCTTTCTCTTCTCACTTGATCTACTTGAAGTTCAAGCTGTTGTCATGAGCCGTCAGCCAGGATATCCTCATTAGGTCATTTGGCTCCCTATGGAGAAGGGAATCTTTTGTCAGCTTAAAAGAGGATTGATTTTCATTTTTCTTGTTTTAGATAGAAGTATACTTCTCCAGTGCATTTCTGCCCTTTACCTTCCCCTTACCCATTCTGCTGTAAAGCCTATTTAATAGTAAGGATTAATGAAATTCCCAAGATCAAATTGCTAAAGTGAGCAATTCATTTAAGAGCATTTAAATATATCTTGGCCAAAATCACCACCAAATGAAAACACCGGGGGAAAAAAAAAAAAAAAGAGGAAGCATGTTGTATGAGTGCGGAAATTGGGTGACCTTAGCAAGTCTTGAGAAAGAGCCAAGAAGAAAAATCATGAGCAAATCACTTCATCTGTTTCCTTCTCACAAAAGATGAGAACAGTGCTTACTGTAGTATGGGTCTCCTGTTGCATTTTGAAGTACTCAGAAGTAGGAGATAGAAGGTATTCAGCCCTGTGAGAACGGTTGTTACTACTTGTTCTAATTTCAGTACCTTAATGTAGGGATAGGTTTAGGGAAGAGCTGGCAATAACAAATATACAGATTTTGCAGCTGCTTATGGAGGGCCTTCGGGTATGGTCTAACAGAAAAATTTTCCCATGCTGCACTTCCTTAAGTTGGCATATTGTTGGTAGATTATTACATAGAAGTTGGTATATAAAGTTGGTGTAACAAATGTAAGGTTCTGGTTTTCAGCATTTCTCTTTTAATCAGTCAGAATTGATTACGGTAGCAGGACTTCAAAGACTTGCCAGGTATTTACTAGTCAACTGTTATCAACCTATCTTGATACAGAAAATGCTGCAAGATAGAGTAGGTAGTAGCCCTGGGAAAAGTCCTAGCAAGAAATTAGCTTTCTCCTTCAGACGACAGCCAGCGTGTGACCTTTTATATGCTAGTTTTTACTTGCCCTGTCCCACCTCCTCCCTAAGGTTCTCCCACGAGAGAGCACGTCTGGGAATCCACGAGGAGTTAGGATATGTGACTTTTAGTCAATGGTGTGAGATGCTCATGCCTGGAAGCTGGCACAGTTGACCAGCATGCTATAGATCTGTTCGTTTAGTAGATAAACTTCTGGAGAGAGCCTTCCCCACAGCTGCAATCATGGAAATGCAGGTGTCTGTTATCCGTGCTGTCATACCTGGAGTGCTCCCAAAGTTTGAACGGTCCTTGTGGTACGTTGTGCTGTAGTTCAAGAAAAGCCTTTGATGCTTTACTATGGAATTGAAAAATGTTGGATACCACTTCATTGATCTATAATAGGGAGTAATTTCTCCAGTCCACTGTCATCCAAACTTTCCCCTTTTCCCAGCCCAGTTCATCCTTGCATCTTGACTTTTTTTTCTTTGTTTGTTTGTTTGGTTTTTTTTTCCTAGAAGGGTGGGTAGAAGATGAGATGAAGGGTAGATGGCTGTGCTAAAAGAATATTAACTCTAGCCATGAATAAATTATTCAATTTTTCCCCACAATCTAGTAAAATAAAAGAGAATATTGATCGCTAGATACAGTAAAAGACGACTAACGTTTCTCTGCGCTAATTCCAACAGTAAAGATGGAGAAAGAAGCAGAGGAAGAAAGAATCCGGAAGCATAAGGCTGCAGCTGAGAAAACTTTCCAGGATGGAATTGCCAAAGCGAAGCTGGTGATGCGCAGGACACCAATTGGCACTGATCGTAATCATAACAGGTAGGAAAGGCGATCATCCCCTACCCCTGGATCTCCCTTCTGGTATAGGCCTTTAGCCTCGCAGAAGTGAGCTTTCCATTTACATGGAGTATAATACCCTTCACTGATTCACATACTAGATTTTTCTGGCCTTCCCATGAAGGTTGCTATCTGCTAGCCAGTGGAGCTTCAAGTGCTTGCATCATTACCCAAGAATATACTCAATATCTTCTCCTTTTCATGTTTCTTGCATAGGAATGCTCTTAGAATGGATTTTAATGAAAATTTTTCCTGTTTCTGAATTACGGTTGTACTAATGATATAACTCAGTTTTTACTGAGTCAAGCACACAGGTTCTCCCGTTCCTCCCCGCCCCCCAAACCTTATGCAAAAAAGATGAATGGTGTGTGGCTGTAGTCAGAAATTGAGACAGGTATCTGTTAATGTGTGTATGTTCTTTACAGGTATTGGCTGTTTTCAGATGAGGTTCCTGGCTTGTTCATTGAAAAAGGCTGGGTACATGACAGTATAGACTACAGATTCATCCTTCCCCATCAGAAAAAGGAGGAAGCAAGAAAGGACTACAGCCCAGTAGGTATGATTAGCTAGCTTCTTTGTGTAATTCCTTTGTTATCTGACTGTTAGGATGGATTCATGAATAGGAAAGAGAACTGGTTAGTCTTACTGTGGGTCCTCCAGTCTGAGTCTGCTGTAAACTCTTCTGTGTGCAGGTTTCCTGAGTTTGACACTTGCTGCTGATGATCTTGCTGCTGCTGCAGATCTTGAGATTTTCAGCATTCCTCCTCTAATCAGTCAGAATTGATTACGTTGGATTGCGTATAAGGAACGTGGGATAAGATCCCTCTCTTAAAAGCAGTCAAGCTGATGTCAGCTGTGGAGTAACAATACTGTTTACTCTGTACCTTCTGGGTTCCAATATGCCAGACCTCTTAGACAAGTGATCAGTTGACTGCTGCAGTGAGTAAGGATATCCATCATAATGCTAGCGCCCTATCAGTAGGGGAACTTGCAGGTTAATCTGCTTGCCACAGAGCACAAGTATGCTGCTTTTGCTCTGAAGGTGCAATGAGCTGAGCTGCTCACCAGATGCTTTCATACTGTAGAGGTCTCGAGGCCTTTTCAGCAACTTCCCACAGTCCCCACCATGAAATGATGTCAAGCAGGGCAGTCTTCTAGAAGTCTATAGCTTTGCTGGCTGAGGCCTTTTTGGCAGACAGTTCCCCTCACGTGTCCTTTCAGCCTGCTCGTCACCTTGTACTGAACCTGCACATGAGGTGCAGTGACTATCTGGAGTTCTAGTGCCTCCTCTATAGTTTTGCCTTGGTGACTTGAGGCTGAGTGGTCAAGCATTGCAAACCGAACATGGACATATACAAAAATTCTTCTATGGGAAGGGAAACTTAATGATTCTGTGTTACAGAAGACCATACTGTAATCTGATTCCAGCTGCAGCTTCAGTACTGATTATTTGCTGATTTTGGACTATCATGGGTTCACATGGAGTCCATCGACAGCAATATTGCACAAAAGAGGTTGTACTGAGTTAAATCAGAGGGCCTTTACTTGGTATTCTGTCTTAGAAAACAGTCAGAGTAGACATCTGTGGAAGAATAGAACATGGCAAGCATATAGTTACGCTTTTTTTAGTGTGTATCTTTCCAGCCGCCTGCGTCTGGTGGACTTGTTGAACTAGAGGCGATATTATTCAGCAGCCCTCAATGGATATTTTTTGCTCTGTGAATTTGTTCAAATATTGACGAGTCTTGTTGCTATATGTCAACTTGCTTCCAGCAAGTGTTATTCCTTCAAGTGCTGCCGAAGTATTTGCCCAGCTACTATGCCAGGTTTCAGCACTTCCCTTTGGAAATTTAGAGAGCCTTTGTTAAATTTATGTCGGACTGTTGGATCTGTCACTTTTTAATTGTGCGCCTGTGTGTGTACATTGTGCAGGCTGGGGTGAATGCCTGTATGCATGTGCATACTGGACTGCAGCTTCCTTTTCACAGAGGATGAATGGACTCCAGGTAGAGTCATGTGCGCAGTGTGACTGAGACCTCACTCAAAGGTGTAGCTAGAGGTTTTATAAGTTAATAAACTTTGTAGTCCTTCCCGCAGCCATTTGTGATGACAGGTGAGGTAATACATATATTTTGTGTGATGCTGGTCTGTTAACAGAACTACGCCATTTTGGATTGCCTTGTGACTGTATCCACTGTATTGACAGGCAAAGCTGTCTCCTCAAGCAACTGCAGAGAGTCTATGTAACAGACTGGTGAGCTTCTTTCAAAACTTGCACCAGTAGAGTACACAGCACTTCAGCCTGCTTTAGGAGCCTGGCATCTTAAAAAGCAGGGCTGAAAGGGTCCTTTCTGTCTAAAGCAAGAGGATCTCTAGGTATAAACATCCTTGGCAGGCTTTTGACCAATCTCAGCTTAAAATTCTTCAACAGTGGAGAGTACCTCCCTGCTAAGCAGTCAGTCCTATATTCATCTGTTCTCATCTTCCTTAATGTCTAGCCTAAGCAGTCACCTGCTGCATTCAACTCTCTGAACTTTTTCCTGGCAGACCTGGGAAAAACAATTTGTTTCCTTTGTCTGCCATCAGCCTCCTACATGCTTATGAGTAGTTATATACACCCTCATTTCCTTACTCTCCCTTTCCCTAATCTGAAGTCCCTTTATTGCATGCCAGCCTCTCTGATTGTTTTCCATAGCTTACAGTTTTTAAGACCCCTCTGATCAAGTTAAACTCTTTCCAGCTGATCGATTTCTTATCTGAAGTGGAGTTTCCAAAACTGCATGCTGAACTCAAGGCTTCAATAGCAGGTAGAGTAGAGCAAGACTGTTTCATGTCTCATAAATTATATATTCCTGCTTGCTTTACATCAGTGTGGTGGCAGCATCTTTTAACCAACGTGACTGTTAGCTCATTTTCACTTTTTGATGCACTGGAATGTCCAGCTACCATTTGAACAGCACTTCCAGTGAAATATTGTTCCTTACCCTGCATCTGCCGTGGAATTTATTCCTGCTTAAGTTTAGAAGACTGCCTGATGCACTGAATTGCTCTACTTTTTTTCCTAGATCAATATATTTTTTCTTTTGGGACAATTTTATTCTCCAAAGTGTTTGACACAGCATGTGAAATCTAAAGGCAGGAGTGTAGCACAAAACTGTGGGCCAACCTCCACGTCTACTTTTCAGAGTGCTCAACACATTGGGCTTAAGGAGAAGCAGGTTTACTGCATGAGGGATATGCATGCTTGTGTGGGATTCAGACTGCCTGCCTCTGCCAGCTGCAGTTACCAGGTGGTGATCTGTGTGTAGGCTCTCCCTGGCACAGAAAAAAGGCAAACCTGTGCTCCCAAGCCACAGTTCAGAGCAAAATGAGAGGTTACCCTTTAGGTCGCCTGTGGGTCTAATGAAGTGATCGGCAGTTGTGTTTTTGTTCGTTCGTTCGTTCTTTCTTTCTTTTAGTGTTCAGTATTTAATTTTTGGACTCTGAACTGAAGTGAAATTCAAGGCCCTTTCCTGTTGTCTTAAAGAGAATGGTCTACATTCTCTCTGCTCTTTCTGGCAGCAGCTTATACTCTTGCAGATATTACTCTTTAAAATGGCCAAAGCTGGACTGTTGAGAGGCAGGATATTTGAAGGAGCCTTGTTGTGACCACAAGCTACAGAGCAAGAATTGCTGTCATTTACTTTCAGACTCTCTATTGCAGTACTGCAGAAGTTGAACTGAATTCCATTCACCCAACTCTCTCTCATGCTTTCTGGACTTGAATAATTGGAACACTCTGTAGAGGAAATGCTTTTCTTGGTCTAAGTGTCCCTTTCACAGCGCTTACAGGTTTTCTTCAGCTGTTGATAGGAGACGCTGTTAGCTACCTCTGGTTTACTTCTCTTCCATTGGGAATATTCACCGTTATCTTTTATCTGGTCAGAACTGCAAAAACGTAATCCTCTTCAAAGAGGTTCTTATGTGATTGTTGGGTTAGATTTTTTTCTTAGGGTGCACCGTGGTCTTCTAATTGCTTTTAATTGATTTACCCCCTCTTCCCAATTATCATTGGGATATGTGTACAGGCACGTGTGCACACACACGTGCAAACATATTTATATAGTGCATTGTTTATTAAAAAAAAAAAAAAGAACAGCTTCCAGTCACTTACCAGTTTTCCAGAGTAAGGGATATGACAGCTAGAAGTCCTATAACATGAAAGACATTTAAAAAATAGAGGAGGAAGGAGATGACTTTCTTTAAATAGTTAATTTCCTATAGGAATCCTTACCTGTGTGACAAGCAGGAACTGTTGCATGGATCTCCTTTAGTGTAGGAATACGTGCCTGGCAAAATAGGTACTGTATTAAAATATCTGCTAACAATTTACTGGTATTTAAGTTTTTTCTTGGAGGAAGATACTCAAAAATACAAATTCATTCTATTTATAACACATGCAAAGAGTACTTTGTCAGTATATGGCTAAAGAATGAAATTAGTTGTATGCATTTGATATAGCAGCAATTCTTTTTTAGTGTTATGTTTGTACTTTTATGATGCAGTTATATTTTCTTTAAAGATCAGCTTTCTAGAAGTGTTTCTATAAATGGATATATCATGTTGAGTTTAGCGAAGTAATGCTAGATTAGTTTTCTCTGAACTGCTGAACTACGTGCTGAGTATAAACACTTTAACCGAAAACAGTTTCGTTTTTGCAAAATAAAAATGCGGATTGAGGAGAAATGCAAGTGAGAATACATTTGAGCTTGTGCTTTTCTCTTACAGATAAGCGGAAGAGCACAGCCACGGATGGCAGAGTGAGCCTACTTCATAGGTCTATGCATGTTGCAGACGTTCCTGCAGAGACCACTACACCCAAACAGGGACAGAACTTGTGGTAATATGTGCTTTTATAGCTGTGAAGTACTCAAAGCATAGAGGTCAAGGAAACTATATAGAGATTTCATTTGATACAATGCAGAATACTCAGTAATATCTCTCGAGCATGTACTTCCTATTCCTCCTGATGGTCATCCTAGATCCTATTACTCTTTCAGTACTTGAACTTCATTTAGCAGCCTGCCAGGCCTCTTTTACTGATATCGTTACTAGCGGTGAATGGGTGAGTAATAGGGCAGCTGATCCAAGAGCCAGTTAGAACCATTCTAGTCAGCCTAACCTGACTTAAAGTCAATGTAAATTAACCTAGTAAAACTGCTTTGGTGGTGTTTGTTTATTTTAATATACTCAAAAGAAATGTTAATTCTTTTGTAGTTGCTGTGGGGTTTTTTTAAGTACTGGTAAACAACACAAAACCTGTAACCTAGCTAACAATGCCTAGGTATTTTTCATGGCTCATCTCAGCAGGTCTGAATTGTGGCACATGTGATCCTTGAGCACATGGAATTGAAGTCTTCCCTGAGATCTTTGGAGCCAGGTCTATGCCCTG